CGCTTGGGCGATCGGTCACGTCTCTGATTATTTTTCCTTTTCATTTACGCCTGTATTATGAAACAACATCTTTCCTCTCCGACGAAGATTCTTTTCGAAGGGATTGTTCTTTCAAGCGGTATTTTCAAATGCTCGAACCTCTTCCACTTCGTGCGGGATGAGTTTTTTAGGTCTGGTAATACTGTCCACTTCGCTGATGCATTATGGTCGTTTTTTCGCTGTTGCATTATGGGTTGTCTTACTGTGTGTTTGTTTGCCTTCGTTGGCTCTAAAATTAAGAGTATTCTGCGCTTTTGTTCCTCCAAATCACCTTTTGGCAAGTCCTATATCGCAGAGAGAACGTACATGGTGGTCACAAGGGTGGGTGGTAGTGGACGGTAGATTTGCCATGGTACCGGGGTCTGCTGATAGGCTAGATGCGGAAAGTCCACCACCCTTAGTACATGTTACTATTATACCCTTCTCTCAGGTTCCGAGATTTGTACACATACCTTCTTAGGTAAATATTTAAAATGTTCTTGACTTTGACAAGTTGTTACAAGGAAGTAATTTGCTCCCCTACTGAACGAACATCCCAGTAGCTAGGATGCTCCACCGCATTGCATGTCATCAGTACACGCCAACACAAAATATATTACAACAATATACTCTACCACGATATATTATACCAGTATGATCCAGAACACAGTATATCATGTCAATCCGTCCACCATACAAAATATAAATCACAGCTGCAACAGCATGATTCACAAAAAAAAACTTTATACACAGAATGTCTCCATTATGATTCACTACACAAAACCTACCATCGAATTGCGATTCAGAGGAAATGGTCAACAGCAGTTTAATCGTATTATATATTAATATGAGCGTTTTTATCATCTTCACCTACCCAATCCTGGGCTTGCGGGTTCTCACTTCACCATGTGCTCACTGGGACGCATCAGCTCCACAAGGCTGAGTGGGAGACTACTGGGACTGGAAGTAGGAGCTGGGAGGTAGCTCCACTTCGGCAATTTGATCACAGCGTAGCTCGACGACGTCGCATTGTAAGTAGTACGAATGTACTGAGTACTTACCTCTTTGCTTACTGTATTTAATGATACTGTATGTTATGCAAGTCAAATACACTATATACACTTTACATAGTTACATATTTGGCTGAAATAATAAGTATGTGACCACAATGCGATTTTTCCCATTTTAAATGTTCATCAGAAAACAATAATGCCAAAGGAACACATCACCATCATCATCTCCAGGGCGTTTTACATTCGGAGAAGTGAATACAAAATTATTTTGTATACCAAACCATAATTAATAGCAAGGAAATCCTCATTAGATGTACTAAAAACTCCACACATACACTTACGTAACTTTATGCTTACTCAAGGACTGCTGAAAGGTTTTGGCAAAGACTGTTGTATGGGTCAGTTGCGTGGACACTCAGGAGCCACTAGAAAGAGATGAAGTCCTTTAAAATGTGGTTTTATAGACGAATGCTAAGAATAAGCTACGCTGACAGGAAAACAAAATTAACAAAAACTTAAAGAGAAATACCTGAAATGTGCAGAAAAGGAAAAATAAGATACTTTGGTCATACTATTAAGGTTGAAGGGATAATAACAAATATTAATAGGCAAAGGTGAGGGTTGGAGGGCCATGGGATGGCAGAGACTGGGATGGATGAATGAAATTAAAAACTGGGTCCCCAGGGAGACACAAAACCTTGGGGATTTGGTAAAAAAAAAGAGAACATTTAGAGTGGAGGAGTGTGGGCGCCAACCCTCAGATATGAGGACGGTACAGTACTCTGAATGATTGATTATCGTGATAAGTGGAGTCTGGGTAGCCAGGCAACACGATCACCTGTTTTGACTCTTACCTTTCCCTTAAGCTAATCTCACAACTCTCTTTGTTTTTAAATCATCATCTTGGAGATGTCTTTCCCGTTGCCTTTGTATCCCGTTTTTCTGTCACACTGTAAGAAGTTTGTCCTTGGATTAATTAAGTATGTCTGATGTATTAGTTACCAGATAGAACATATACTGTATATGCATTTTTTGGTACAGTATTTCCTTAAACCACTGGAGCGTTGTACAATATGATATACACGCAACTGAATATAGATACTGTTGTAACAGAAAGCCATGTCAAAACGAAGTACTGTACTGTATTTGTTAGAAGTTAAAGTACAGTGCACACCAAGAGGAGCTCGCTGGCAACACATTATGTTTAAGTGTTAATACGTGTATGCTACCATAAGCAACTATAAAATAGCTGATATTTCACGATTTACGAGGCCGTAATGACCCGATAAATATTAGCAAAAACTTAAAGAAAAATGCTTGAATTGTACAGAATTTTTTTTAAAAGGGAGACATTTTGGTTATATAATTAGGGATTACGGGATAACAGAATATTAATCGGCAACATTGAGGGTAAGGGGGGGAGGGTAGCAGAGAAGGCAGAGATATTAACCTCCACCAAAAGATCGGCTCGTTAGCCGCTTGGGCGATCGGTCACTTCTCTGTTACGCACTGTTGGCAAGTACTGGGCATGCACCGGCTCCTAAATGTACCTGAACCTGCTCCAGTGTTGGTCAAGTCTTGTCTTGAAAGAGCTCACACTCGGTGCCGTCACAACACTTTCTGGTAGATTGTTCCAAGAGTTCACAACTCTCACTCCGAAAAAGTTTACCCTCACAGTTTTCTGGACTTGCGGCTTCTTCAATCTTGAGCTGTGACCCCTTGTGGGGCGAGCGTCCGCCAGCTCCAAGTAAGGACACTCGACTGAATAGTGCCCCTTGAGATGCTTATACACCTCATTTGGGTAACCCCTTGCCCGTCTGTACTATAAGCTAGGCAAGTTCAGGTGCTCCAATCTCTCAGGGTAGCTGAGGTGCCGAAGTGCAAGCACCTGTCTGGTGGCCCTCCTTTGAACATTTTCAACCAACTAATAGTCTCTAGCATATCTCGGGGACCAGATGGGGTGACATTACACCAGATGGGGAAGCACGTCACTCCTGAAGATCGTTACGAGGGACGGACCGTCTAGATATCTGAACGACCTTCTTATAAGACCCAATAATTTATTTGCCTGATTTACCTTCTTCTCTCAATGGCCCGAGAACTTCAGCTCATTGCCAACATACACACCTAGGTCCTTCTCACATACAGTCTCAACTAGTGCAGTTTCTTCATCCCGTTGGGACATATGATACGCCTCCTTACCGTTGGTACGCCCCAGGTGCATCCTCTTACACTTCGTGACATTGAATCTCAGCAGCCATTTCTTCGACCATTCCTGGAGCCCACAGAGGTCCTTCTACAGTTGTTCACAGTCCGCTTGGTTCTTAATTTCCCGAAATAACTTGGCGTCATCGGCAAACATTTGTATGGAGGAGTGTACAACGTCAGGCATATCATTTATGAAACAAACAAACAACAGCGGACCCAATACACTGCCCTGTGGTACCCCACTTGTGACAGGTACAGATGACGATTTCGTGCCATTAATCACCACACACTGCTTGCGGTCATGTAGAAAGTCTTCTATCCACGCTAGGGCATTTCCCCGAATTCCGTACCCTTCCAGTTTGATTTTCAGCCTTTCGTGGGGTACACTGTCGAAATCCTTGGCAAAATCTAGGTAAATATTGTCGATATTACCACCCTGTTCCAGAATATGGGTCCAAATATCCAATACCTTGAGCAATTGTGTAAAGCAGGAGTGCCCCGGTATAAAACCGTGTTGGCAATCTTTTACAGGGTTGTTTCGTATTAGATGTTCCATTGCGGCATCTCTGATAATACTCTTAAGTACTTTACATATTATGCTGGTCAGGCTCACCGGTCTACAGTTGTTCGTGGAGTGACGATCGCCCTTCTTGAAGATAGGACTCACATAAGCCACTTTCCATTCACTGGGGACCATTTGTTCATCCAGGCATTTACAAAACAGGATCTTCAGGGGCTCTGCAAGCTCGTTGCACAACTCTTTTAGCACTCTAGGATGCACCATGTCAGGTCCGGGACTCTTATGGACCTTTAGCCACCGTGGAGCACCGCTGATTGGCCAATCCAGGACGTAGACGCACGGGGAGTAGTCAAAATTTTGGGGAGTCGAAATATATGTTTTCCAGAAGCTTGAATGTTTCTCGTACAATCTGAGATGGTAATTGCACAGTCGCTATGTTGGGTAAGGTCAATCACTAGGATTGACGGCACCGAGTGTGACCTCTTTCAAGAGAAGACTTGACCAACACTGGAGCGGGTTCAGGTACATTCAGGAGCCGGTGCATGCCCAGTATTTGCCAACAGTGCGTGACAGAGACGTGACCGATCGCCCAAGCGGCTAACAAGCCGATCAGTGGCGAAGAGGATAAAAAAAAGTAAAAGTGTCCAATCACAACGAAGTTGTAGACTGCTGAACCATGCAGCAGAACAGGCAACTCCATGCAGTAGAAAAGGCAAGTCTTCACAGCGCCGGGTCCAGCAGTCACTAGATGGAGTCCACGAAGAAGTACTGTCACTACTTCCATATATTCGTCTTTCATTCCACCTTGGCGAACGTATGGAATTGCACATTGTACATTAGTGTTTCGCACAGTTGTGAAAAAAGAAACTTCTTATTTTAAAACCTAACTGAAGTGCATGAAGAGTTTGCTCTTTTTTCAGTATAAGGTGCCCAAGATAATCAATGTATAATTGTAAATACAACTCCTCGTATTTGTCATCGCTTGGTTTTTATTAGTTAACTAAACCTAATATCCGTTTTCTATAGTGACAGTTTGTTTACAGTTTTCGAGTTCATAAATACGAGTTACGTAGGTTTTCCTATATTTCATTAATTTTGATATATTATTAACATATATAGATCAGTTAAAAACTATACCGTTAAAATATTATATAGTAAGAAAATTAGGAAAATTGGACTGTTTATGCAGAAATAAAAATATTCTCGATTTTATGATACTGATATACTAGTAGCTGCTTCACTATCGCCTCCACGAGTGAAAATCGGGATGTCACGAATTATCAAATTTTTTCGTGTTTTAAGGAGGAATCCAAAGAAATCTATATTATTCTCAGCACTTTTTGGTTACGGTATCAATTTTTCTAAGAACAAATATGAGTGAGTTTGATTACTTTCATTTGGACGAGGGTAATCATAAGAGGTTTGGCCAAACTTCAACCCCAAATATACTCTGTAGAATCGAAGATATTTGAACGGTTATCGTTTTAAGACTAAACATAGATGGAATTGATAGAATTACACGAAGCTTTGTGGTAACGTTGATTACAAACTATTAAATAGATTAATGGAAACGAGATTCATTGTCATCGTGTTTTAAAGGGTTTTCTTGTAAATTGCTTATGGTTAGGTAGTTTACTTTAGGTTTGGTTGGTTAGATAAAGTTCTAACAGGTCACCTGTTAAATAGCCTACAGCTGTAGAGACTAAGGTTTTTTATTTTTATCGATAATTTACTTTACTTAACCGACCTTAACCTAACAACCTAACCTAACTGAACCTAACCTACTCTTGAGGCAGGTCAGGTTATGAAGTGACCTGACCTGCCTCAAGGAAAGATAAAGGGGGGCACTAACCTGTGCGTGAACAAGGTAACCCAGCTCAATAGCCATTGAGCTATTTTATCATCCGACCTGTCTCAATAACCACTTCCATTTTGTTGAATCTCGTATTCACGTGGTATAAAAAATTTCAGAGGATGAATAGATTAATCTCAGACGATTGATTGTCTTTCTATACGGTACAAGTGAATTCACAATTGTCTGTTACAATATGATCCGCAGTCATAGTTGATTGTTCTGTACATAATGCCGAATACTCCAATCTTGTACTATACGTATTTGGGATTGAGGTGATTAACCAATATGTGTTAACAGCAATGGTGGAGCAGACGGTTAACATCTGAAGACATTATATTATTCATTCATATTTTCCATATTTGTTGTTTGGATGATAGTAACTAACAAAAATGATATGACAACTTTTTCCCACCTGTAGTGGGAAGGGCATTAAAGATGAGGGGAATTGCAGGGTTAAACATGACAAAAAACTGACCATATGGCAGTCATTTCATGTCTACATGCTTTGCCCTTGAATAAATTGATTATTTACTGTTAGTATTCAGCTGATAATTTTCCCATGGTACTGCGTATTTACTTCCAGTCTTTGTTAACTTGAAAATAAACGACGGAGCCTCACATCGGTGATTTTATTACCATAAATATTGGCTTAATTGGCTTTTTTATAGGCTTTATTTTCCTGGTTCTCTAATGTATTGTCTGTGCATATCCTTTTTTTTTTCTTTTTTTTGCACAATAGGTTTTTCAAATTATTCTATAAAGTACAGTATATAAATGATGGGAATCATATACAGTACTAGTTGGATGTGAATCCCTTACTATAGGTTTGGATACATTTCAAATTTCTTTCGAGTAGCATTGGATCCTAAGTGAACTGTATGTTCGTATACAGCTACTCCTCGACTTACGACCTACTCGACTTACGACCACCCGGACATACGACTGCCCCAGTCTTACTAAAGTTTTTTTCAAATTACAGTGTGCATTTTCGAGTCCCGACGTCAGTGATTGTGCTATGTACTGACAAAAATTTTCGTTTGTAATTCCCTTTAAAATGGCTGGCAAGCTTAAAAGTGAGAGTTTTGTGGTGCTGAGAAGAAAAAGAGACACCCATTTTAGATTTTCTATGTATTATCTTTGCATTTTCGACTTACGACCTGGATTTGGGTCCCTAACCCCGTCGTAAGTTGAGGAGTGGCTGTACTTATTGTTCTTCCTCAAGAAGGACTGAAGAAGATAGTCATCTTGTTTTTCAATGGCATTGTTGTCGTGTTGTGTTCAGTATCGTATTGCTAGTTGTCTGTGCTTGTGGAGGATGAAAATTGTCTCCAAGAGTTCATCTGTCAGCATGGACTAGTTGTCAGGACATGTAAGTGTTCAAAATGCGGCACAGAACTGACAGTGAAGAAGATACAGTCGGCCCTTAACATACGCGGGTTTAGCATACACGGATTTGCAAATACGCGGATTGCTCCGCCGGAGGAATATTCTGTACATTGAAGTAATTGAAGTACATTCATATCGCGCGCCATTCAACCCGCGCGCGGCACCGAACACAGGACACCGCCCGCTCTTGCAACCTCACACACCCGCATAGCTCTCCCTCACTCAGTCAGTCTCGCTGTAACCACGCTTGTGTTGACATCAGCATTGTAGTTGCAAAAATATTACATTTCTGTAAATGTATTATATCAAGCACAGTATGAATAGAATATCACTAGTATAACAGTATTTTAACCGAAAACTATTAAAAAAAACAAGTAACATATCTTGAACATCGGAAGGTTAGGTAAAGTCTTTTGTTTTCAACTTTTCATGTAGTTTATCCCAATTTACATTGAACATTACGTTTCAGCAAAACTACTATTTATTTCTGAGAATATGGAAATGTAATATTTTTGCTGAACTGACGTACGTATTACAGTGGAAAGTGACGAAAGCAGTGACTTTCGCTTTCTTTCGTTCAAAAGATGTTACCGTAATCGCTTTTCGAATGGTTTTCAGTTAAAAATTTTGTGTAACAATATTATTCTATCCTAATTCACTTGTGATGCAACAGTTTTTTTAACTTAAAATCATTCGAAAAGCGATTACGGTAACATCTTTTGAACGAAAGAAAGCAAGTCATTGTTTTCATCACGATTTTATCCCACTTTCCACTGGAATACGTACGTCATTCCAGCAAAAATATTACATTTCCGTGAATGCATTATATCAAGCACAGTATGAATAGAATATCATTGTAATATAACAGTATTTTAACCGAAAACTATTATAAAAACGAGTAACATCTCTTGAACATCGGAAGGTTAGGTAAAGTCTTTTGTTTTCGTCATGTATTTTATCCTATTTTACATTGAAATACATCATGTTTCAGCAAAACTACTATTTATTTCTGAGAATATATTCATTCGGGCGCAGTTTAGGTAAAATATACATGTGATGTAACATTGTTTTAACTGAAAATGCTTTGAAAAACACGTACCCTCTAGCCCTGTTGAAGGACAAGACTGGGAGGAGCTGTTTGGTGTTGAAGACGATGACAAGGAAAATGATTTTGATGGATTTTAATGAAAATATTCAGAAATATGGTATCGTAGTATTTATTCAAGTGAATTAGGTTAGAATATTATTGTAATACATTAGTAGTGATGATGTGGAGGAGGCGGAGGGATAGAGCGGGGAGGAGGCTGAGGGATAGAGCGGGGAGGAGGTGACTGGCGGGAGCAGGGACGAGTGGAGATGCCAGCCAGTACATTACGGGTGTACAGTATTAATTGTTTTTATAGCTATTTTTGCATTTTAATATTAAATACTGTACATTACGTTTCAACAAAACTACCATTTATTTCTGAGAACATGGAAATGTAATATTTTTGCTGAAATGATGTACGTATTACAGTGGAAAGTGGGGTAAAATTGTGACGAAAGCAATGACTCTCTTTCGTTCAAAAGATGTTACCGTAATCGTTTTTCGAATGGTTTTCAGTTGTGGGATTATAAGGCTAATGATAGGATAGAATATTATTGTAATACAGTACGAGTACAACAGTTTTTTAACTGAAAACCATTTGAAAAGCGATTACGGTAAAATCTTTTGAACAGCGAAAGAAAGCGAAAGTCATTGTTTTCGTCATGATTTTATCCCACTTTCCACTGTAATATGTACGTCATTCCAGCAAAAATATTACATTTCCATATTTATTTCCGAGAATATATTCATTCAGTCACAGTTAAGTAAAATATACTTGTGATCTTAATGAAAATACGGTATCGTAGTTTTCTTTTGTTTCAAATTTAATTAACAAAGATTGATGTTTCAAATGTAATGAACAAAAATTTATGTACAGTATCTATAAATACACTTTAATAAATGAATACTTTATGTTTTACATCGCCCTGTGCTACCATACCATGGATTTGGCTACTTTGGGCTTGCTATGATGACGCAAGAGATCTGCCCTGGCAACTGTACCGACACTCACAGCTGGTGGTGCGTTGGTGCATCGTTTCCATTGTTTACTCGTAGTTACTGGTAAATATTTTTCAACCTAACAAAACTATTACCCTTTTAGAGGTCGACCCCCAATTTTTTGCCAAATAATTTGGTCTTAAAAGCTCGAACTACACACAGGTATATACGGTAAATAAGGACATGGGGGGGGCCAGGGTTTTTTTTTGGGGGGGGGTGGCAGCAAAAATACGCGGATTTTTAACATCCACTGGTATCTCTGTTATGTAACCCCGCGTATGTTAAGGGCCGACTGTACTGTATATGTGTTTTATAGCGCATCAACCAATCTTACTCTTACTTCCACAAAAAAAAAAGTTAAAATTACACAATGCCGCTTTCATTGGTACCAATATGCCGGGAATTTGAAGTTAGGTTGTTTAGGTTAGGTTCTGTGTATTGTTATTTCCAGTGTCATGTTTAGCATCATGCAAATAGTATCTCCAGAAATTTTGGTCCAATTCCTAGTTTATTTCTACTGTTATCCATGTTCTCCATCTTTACAGTGTAAACAAATGTATTGTACAGTACTGTAGGTACAGTATACTGTATTGACATAAAAGTCTGAGGTAATGATTCGGTAGAGAACATAATTGGAAATTACTAACAAAAATATGTTTTTCCTAAGATTTATACAGTGATTTAAAAGAATATGACTTATTTTGGCATTAATGAATATTTATGGAGATACTACAATGGTTTGCACAAAGTGGGCTCTGGGCATTCGAGATGAGGCAAATGTAGAGTTAAAACACACTAAAAATAATATTTGACCTTTGGCAACCTGACCCAATCTTTCTTAACATTAAAAAAGCCCTAATTCTCCTAAACCTTACCTTATTTAACCAATGGGGATGATAAAATGAAGCCACTTGTAACAGGAAATGCATGTTGAAATATATATATTGTACAATACCAAACATGTTTACCTGCATACCAAAGAATGCAATATATATCATTCTCCTTGAAAATGTCGATAGCTGCAGCAATATTCTCCAGAACACATTTAATAGTTCCCATTCATTCACAGAGCTGCCGCCACATAAGGAATTCATATGCGAAAGAATATTTTTATATGAAATGTTTGCACATGTGTAAATGTCTCAGATGATAAAGTACCATTCCTTGATTGGTCAAACCTTATCATATGAAGTTCATGTGAATAAGCATTGAAAACAATATTCCACAAAAGTGGATGTAGTGAACTTAAAGTCTGTCACTTTTATTGTAGCCTGATCCTGTTTGTCACATTAAGAAGTACAATATATACCTGTACTATAAACATGTCTGGTTTTGTACAAACACATGCAAAAGACAAGACGATAATCTCTATATGCTCCTCTATCGGTTAGATAAGGTAAGTTTTTCGTAAAATGGGGTCTTATTTTAGCTAAGAAAAGGTTAGGTCAGGTTACCAAAGGTTTGATTAATTTTTTTTGTGTGTGTTTTAACCCCACATTTTACCTCATCTTCAAAGCCCTGCTCACTTTGTGCAAACCACTGTTGTATTTCCATAAACATTCATTAGCTCCAAAAATAAAGTAAAATTCTTTTAAATCATCAAAAACATAAGAACAACATATTTTTCTAATAATTTCCGATTATTTACACTACAGTACCGAATCTTTACCGGATTTGGGTTATCCAGTTACCTAATGAAAATTACTTATAGAAAGCTTTTTCATCCCTGATCTTAAAGAGAGTTCAGGCTCTCAACTGGCTCAGCCATGTTAATATTGTTATTATTATCCACTCTGTGTCTGTATTTTTCTGGCTAAATAAACTTTTTCAATATCAATATCTAATGTGTATAAAGTCACAAGTGCCTTTCTTTACAATCACTGAGTGTGAACTTCTTGAAGTGGCAGATACTGCTACATTATATAATGCAGGAAGAGCTTGTTTAGCCAGGCACCTGAGCTATTTAACATACCAGGTTCCCAATGTACACTTGGTAAAAATAGTGTCTTTTAGGAGGGTTATGGTGAATTTGGAATTGAACAATTGTGCTGTCTCGCTAGGGTTGGTTGGCATGATTATGAGACATTTTCTACCTGTTATGGTAGGCCTAATTTAGTTATTTCATTCAAAATATAAAATTGGCTCATTGTAATATAATTGGTGAATAACAGTATTCCTCATGGACCTTTATCAATAACCTTTGTTTGTGGTGTTATTTTGTTTTGCACAAGAATTGTAAAGATAGTTTCTTTACCAAGTGTATCTGGTTTATTTTTTGAAAATTCATCATGATCAGGTGTATTATGGTACAGTAGGGTCGGGATATATCATGAGATAGGATCCAACGATGTTCGCTATATACTAAATTGCTATACAGTATATAATTACTGTACATGTAATCAATGGGGAAAATAGGGTTAGGTTCTGTAGGCCAAAAAAAGTGACTAAACTTGTTTTAACGAGTTCATTTTCTTACTAATTAAAGCACCAATGAACACTAGACTCGGAAACAACAGGCTATTTGAATGTCAATATTAAGGAACACCAGACTTGGCAGCTGATGCACTATCCTGGGAACTCCAGACTCGGCAGTAGACGCCACACTGCCACCCTCACTTGACAATCCCACACCTACATAAACGAACACCAAAAATGTTAGTTACAGTAAATCTTTTCCATTAAGCTTTCCATTATCTTCACTTCACTTTTCATGTCACTAGCAACCCATTTACACTCACCTTAGAAGTCATAATCTGCAGCACTCAGCTGCTTTCTCGTCACTCACTCAGAAAGACTGAGCGGGCGAGCGTGAATGCGTGAGTGAGTAGCCACGGTGGCGCCTCTGGTGAGCATATAACGCACTTGTTTGCCGTGACAATACATTTGAAATATTTCCTGCCGGATTTCCCTCATGAAATAAAAAAAAAATTATCGCTATATACAGTATACTGTATAGGAAAATGTCGATAATTTTGGTAGCCTCGATATTAAAAAAATCGTTATACAGTATAAAGTCGTGATGTATCACGACCCTACTGTAATTGGAGGAACCTAACGTTTTGCCATTCTGCAATACTTCTAGTCCCTACGTTATGTGCATAATTTATTCAACAAGACAGTTTAAAAAAATAAATAAGATCAGAGCTTGCTTAACCTGGCATACCTCAGCTATTTCATGTAAGAGCTTGCAACCAAACCTAATAGTGTACTGTTTCTAGTAAAATCATATCTTTAAGGACATGTTGGGGGTAAAGTCTGTTAAAACACTTTTTCCTCAAATTCAAACTTTTCTATTAGTTACCCAACAATGCAAAGCTCTTACAGTAAATAGCTGGGGTACTGTACCTGGCTATGCAAGCTCTTACATTAAATTGCCGGGTACGTGATGTGAATTACGCCAGCTCTATCATATTAGATAACTGGAGTGCCTGACTACATGAGCATTCCATTAAAATAAAGCTTTAATACTGTACATAAAATAAAGCTGGTCCATTTCTTTCCAGAGAGAAACTAATGATGAGAGCATTCTGCGAGGAAGCCATGGTGTATGGAGAGTGTTCTAAACCACTCGGTGAATCAGAACGACATGTTACTGTCCTCTTGAATCCTGCAGCCAAAGGCGGGTCAATGAAACCAGTATAGTGTATCCTTAATGTTACCATGATATGGAAATACAGTACATTACAGTAGTATTTAAAAAGCTCCCGATCATCTGTTTGTGATATAAGATCACACCCTCGGTAACATTAGGGAGTTTCATCATCAGGCCACTATTCCACTATTTAGGTGAAATATGCTGGGGCTAATCTTTAGTTAATACAGTACATAACTGCAATATGAACTTGACCTAAACTTACAAGAATTTGCTGCACCTTTGATTACAATCAGGAACTGCTCCTTTCACTTTTACCTAAGTAAATGAGCTATTTAGGCAGCCAATGGAATTATGGTTTAACTTACGTAACATTCAATTAAATTCATGAATTTTACCTATGTACTGGTATCCTCATATCAGTGTGAGGACATGTTCACAGGACACATTTCAAACACTGAAATAAAATGTTTACATGCAAATAAAATAAGGATGGATAATTTATCTAAGAGAATAATATGGCTTATTTGAGTTGTAGGATACAGCATTCATTTTGCATATGTTACATGTTTCATGTAAATCCACAATGAAAACGTGGATAAGATAAATCTTGATAAAATCACACGGGAAAATGGAAACAACGGAGTACCTTTGATCTTGATGTATGATAGTTATTTTGTGGGTCCCTTTTTTCTGACCTGACCTGTCTAGTCACGTCATCACCCTTCTCTTAAGCTCCTCTACGTGTGTGTTGGTGTGGGGATTAGTGGATGTCATCATTATGACCTGACCTCATGTTTTTAGGTCACCCCATATATTTAAGCCTCTCTCTGTCCATGTAATCCAGTTGCCTCTGAAGATGTCTTGAATAAAGACGAAAGCTAAGGTACTCCGTTGTTTCCATTTTCCCGTGTGATTTTATCAAGATGTTACATGTGATTTGGTATCTTAAGCACGGTTTTGTACTATACTCTAGATTGTACTTGTAAGTTATCAAGTAGAATATTATCCAGTATCTTTGCAGCATGATAGTAAGTGTAGTCATACATTATCTATGATTATTTATTCCTTATATTGAATTTATAACCTGTAAATGTGCTGTTAATTCATACTCATTACTCAAGTGTCACTTATGTCTCTGAATATATGTTTTCTTCAACAGAAAAGGAAAGACACAGTTTGAACATTATTGTGCTCCACTGTTACATCTTGCTGGAATTAAAGTTGCAACTGTGAAGACTGAGCATGAAGGACAAGCCAGAGACCTCATGGAAATCATGGAGAACACTAGTGCTGTTGTGGTAGCAGGAGGTGATGGAACCCTGGGAGAAGTGAGTCCTAATTTTGTGTAGCCTGAGGACCATATGACCCCTCTAATTGTGGTGTGTGAAGGTACTGAGAGCTTCCTAGCCTTTTTTTTGTGTTTGTGTGTGTGAAGGTACTGAAGTATTTTAGGCCTTTTGTACCTGATGTATCAAAGTCAGTTTAGTGGATAGAATAAGTAAACATGGCAGATTTGAATCAATACAACACATGTCTTAATGGCCACAAGGTTCCACAGATAGGTCAAGATTTAGTGTGCTCCTTAATTCACATGACAAAGCCTCCCATTATAAGGCCTAAGTACGCCTTACTATAGCTTCCGGTACCTTTCCAATCATACCTGGATCCATCAATTCTAAAAGATAGGTGTCTCCAAATGAGATAGATATTGGCACTAAAAGCAGAAAGGTCATGGGGACCTTGGCAACCATGCCTCCCTGATAAACACAGTTACATGTGACAACTTTTGATAGTTTATAGGACAGATTAGTGTTATATGTTATTGAGAAGTTTTAAGCAGAAATCACACAATTGCTTGTACAGTACTCAAGGTAGGAAAATTCGTGCATAAGTTCTGTTAAGTTGTTTGCAGATTACAAGTTAACACCATTTTGATGATACAGGTTGACAACCCTTTATCCGAAATTCCGAAAACCGATTTTTTTTTTTTTTTTTAAACAGGGATTAGCCCACCCGGGCATGGATCACTGACTCACATTGGCGCCTGGTGGGCGAAAATGTAATAGTAATAATAATTATAATAATAATAATTATTCATAGTAAATAAGATTTTTAATTAAAATACTGTACAGTTAACCCTCACTTTACGCGGTTAATGTAACCCGGAGGGTCCCGCGTAAAGTGAGAAACGCGTAAAGTGAATAACATAACATATGGGATTAATTGAAATGGAGTCCGGGCCGATCCCCAAACTCCACTTTTTGACGACACACAACTATGTTGTAGTAAAAATATTATCTTAACTTTATGATGGTATGCACACACAATTAATAATTAAGAGAAATATCAATAATATTAGGTTTTTTAACACTTACATTAGTAGAAAAAATGGCTGGGCACACGGGGATGGGCGGTTGGTTCCGAGGCAGAGGGCAGATTATTGGCCCTCACCTGTGTCACTTGTATCAATTGTATCACTATCCACCACAGAGGCTTGCAGGGCCTCTTTGTCAAACTCCCCAAAGTCCATATAAGTCCATATCCTCACCATAATTATCACTATCACTGACTTGGGCCAGCTGTGGTGGGTGGCGGGTGAAGAACTGGTAATGTTTTGATGACTGGGCGACCTTGTGCGCACCATGTTCGCGCCGCTTACACAACATGGCGGATGGCGGGAGGTTTGGATCCAAAAATGGTGCGGCTCGCCAGCTGCTCTCCGCGTAAAGGGGTACACGCACCGCGGAATGTGAGCATCCTGGGTTCCGGCAGGGCACCGCGTAAACGTGGAAATGCGGAATGTGGGACCGCGTAAAGTGAGGGTTAACTGTACATCAATATAAAATAATAATGATAACAATAATAATACTGTAATAATAATAATAATAATAATAATAATAATAATAATAATAACAATAATAATAACAATAATACTCTAATAAAATAATAATAATAATAATAATAATAATAATAATAATAATAATAAAGAAATACAAGAATGAAAAATAAGATTAAAGGTGAGAAACGCAACCTAGACCTATGAATTATTATTATTATTATTATTATTATTATTATTATTATTATTATTATTATTATTATTATTATTATTATTATTATTATAATTTTTATTATATTTTCACCTCCCCCAGGCACCGATTTGGGTCAGTGACTTGTGCCCGGTTGGGCAAAAAAAAAAAAAAATAAACCTAACCAATCTGAAAACCGAAAAATTCCAAAAACCGAAATGCCTCTGGCCCCAAGGATTTTGGATAAGGGAATGTCAACCTGTAATCCAAATAGATTCCATTAACTTGTCAGTGTTTGGGACTGCCTTGCCAGGTATTATCCACTGTTCAAGAGCAAAATGCTCGATGCACATAATGTAACTTTACAGTTGCTTCACTGAAAAAAAATTTTCCAGCTGCTTATAACAGTTGCTTCTTTGTATCAGTTTGCCACAGTAATGGGAAGAACATAATATCTCTACCTTTACCAACTGTGTATCTGTTGAGATGACTGTTAGTGTGATATAACAGTTACTTGTGAAACTGTCATATATGTACCAACCTTCCTGGGTTGTCACCACTTGTAACAATCACTTGAAAAGCACGTTACCTTATATTTTAAACATACTAAAATATAGATCAAAGTTTATTGGATCTTCTGTAGTGAAATCCAATGTGTTCTTTATTTATTTATAAAGAACATATATACAGCTCCAAGTGTATATTACCGTAACTTAATCACTGTAGCTATGAGTGTTAAAATGAGGACAGAGGCTATATTGAATAGCTCTTCGAAATACGTCCTCCTTGTGTGAGAGAGTGAGTGAGAATGCCCGTAATACCCGTCAAGGGAGAACGGTAATACAGTCTACCCTCGTTAATTCGGACCCCTTTAATCCGGATTTTGGATAATTCGGACGAAATCTGAACTAAGCGAGGGACTGTCCGTATCAAATTTCTGGTTCTGGGATTGTCCGATAGATGGCGCGCCAGACTGCCAGTCATTGTTGACTTAGCGCCATATTCAAGTATCAGTGTTGTGTTGCCCTGCAATTTTCGTTGATATTTCAATGATTAGGCATCTTTCAGCCTTGTATTTTACATCATGTCTTCAAGTGGGAGTAATACGCCAAAGAGGAAGTATGTGACCCTTTCTGTGAACCAGAAACTGGAACTTATAAGAAAGTTAGAGGCTGCTGCTTCGGTGGCTAGAGTTTGTAACGAGTATGGTGTTCAAAAGCAAACAGTTTTGGACATATGCAAGGCTAAGGACAAACTCACTGCATTTCCTTTTAAATATAATGCAATATTATGCAATATTAACCCCTAAATCGGTTAATTCGGACAATCGGCTAAAACGGACACCCTTCCCCCCCTATTAGTCCGTTTTAACGAGGGTCGACTGTATACGTCCTCCCGCGAGGGAAGACGGAACCATTCACGATGGCTCTCAATAACGTCTTCCTCTAGTCAAGGATATCAAACTACTGCTGCAAGAGGTGGCCAGAGAGTCGGCTACTTAATGCCTTAGTTGAGCACTAAGTGACGTGACTTCCCATGGGCACACCTTATTACGTGCTCTGAACATGCTACCTCATAGCTAGTGGAAAGTTACAGAGGGTGATAGAGTGTATAAATCAAATGTAATTAACCCATTTATATAAATACTTCTGCCATAAGACAGGAGCTATTACATCACTCGGTCACACCCTCCAAGCTCCTCGAGGAATAAACTAAACTCGTAGAAAAACTCTATACATAAACTTAACCATGTTACATGCATATGTGTGTAAACACTAAACTGGGGAAGCTGACACCTGCAGTTGAACAGCTACTCAAGCCCTAGTCTGCAATGCCTTTTGGGGAGTATATTATGTACAATGGCAAAATTGGATGATTCTGACTTAAAAGACAAAAATATTACTGTATAGCTGTCACATTTGCAGTTAAAAAGAGTGTGTCTATGACATCATTAAAAATAATATAAAACTATCATATTTGTAGTTTGAAAAGATGTGTCTATGACATCATTAAAATTAATAACATTATTAACATACAGTATAGTCTCGGTTTACGCGGATTTTTTATACAAGGTTGGTCATTTACTTGGCACCTGTCCAGATGCACCAATTATTAGTTACGCGGTACATTCTTGAATTTACGCGGAAAGAGGCACGGACAAGCTGCGCGCTAGTTCGCTCTTACGTCACCTCTGACGTCAGATGATGTTTCGGACTGTGATTGGGCCACGCATCCTTACCACCCATGCATCCCCTCCGCCGCGAGCTGCGATTGGTCTAATTTAACTTGGCGTACCCTGCCACCAGAGTTAACAAGTCGCTGACCTTAGAAGCGTTAATCCCATTGTCCTCCGTCTCCGTGTATACAGTGCTCCCTTGTGTCCGCTAATCTGCTCAACAATGGCTTCCGCTGGACCCCACCACCCCCGAGAAACCTTGAACTACCTGGCCCAAGCCGCCCCAAGCCCAAGAAGGTACGACGCGCCTTAAGCTATGAAGTGAAGTACAAAATCGTCCAGGAGTTAGAGAAAGGCACAAGACAGGTGGATCTCGCCAGACAATATGGAGTTAATGAATCGACGATTCGCACCATCAAGAAGGATGCCGGCAAGATCAAAGAACACATGAGCATCACAAAGTATGCAGGTGCGTCAATGGTCAAATATTGCCACAATAAGGTGCTGCTCAAGACTGAAAGTTTATTGGTCAGGTATACAGGGCTGTAGGTGGTCGGGCAGTCGGAGGAAATTCGGCTTGTGGTCCAGATCGGTAAGTGTCAGACTCCGACTCCGACTGCTTATTCTGTTTCTAAGAACAAATATGTAGACTGGGCATATTCATTGCAGTGATTCACTGATCCCATAAAATTTTCTTAAATTATTAAAAGAATTTATTTCCATTTTATAAGCATTATTATGAATTTATTGTAGCAGGCACAATGTAGCACTATAATTTTGGACGATAGTCTCTTCTTTTACCATTTGAAATTTTGAATTATATCCATTTTGTTTAGAACGAAAACTGCTGGGGCTCTCAGCTGAAACATTAGCTGCAACCTGTTTTGGTGAGATTAAAGCAAATTTAATTTAATAACTTAGTCGTATAAGGTTTATCCATTTTCGTAATAAGGTATTCATTTCTTTTAATGTACATAAATATATAACTTTACTTTAAAAAGGGTGTAGGATCATTTAGATCCACATCAGATTATGAGCTTAAACAAAATTCATATGCAGAGATCGAACTTTTAAATATATACATGTAAATGGTGTTTTCTAGTTAATATCTTGAATTCTTAGCAATAAATTTATTTTCTTTTGATTGAAACTTTTGAAAATTATTCCTCATCTTTTTGTTCTACATCGTCAGATCATTAATAAAGCTGTAGCAGTATATTACGATTGTTTTACTTTTTTATATAAGGATTTTAACATACAAATTACAATTTAGGATAGTGAAATAGTTGTTACAAATAGGCCAAAAATTGAATTAATTCGGAGGCGCAAAATTTGAAGTCGGGTGAGTCCGAAGGTTTTTGTCTTCGACTCCACAGCCCTGATATGATTAAATCAGTCAAGAAGGAACATAGCGGTCGACCTCGAGCAGTACAGGCCTCGCGAAGAACTGTATACCTATCGGTGGCGTGGAAAATGGGTTACGGAAAGCCCGACCTTCACTGTTTCCTCTGGGTGGCTGCAAGGGTTTCCAAGCGCTGTAAATCCTGAATCTGAAATTGTTGGTGAAGGAGCAAGTGCTGACCGGGCTGCACGCGCAGATTTTTCCCCATTCTTAAAGTATGGAAGGCAATTGCAATAAGTGTTCAACATGGATGAATCGGGTTGTTTTGGAAGAAATTGCCATCCAAGACCGTAGTGGAGATCTCACGAGCAAGTGCCGGGCGAAAAATGCAGGGCGCATCACCGTCCTGTTCACCACCACCAATCTTATCAACATATTTCAAGTTGTCTGTGATCCACAAAGCCCGCCAAAAGCTGCGCTTCTAAAATATGGACATGAGCAAGTTAAATGTCCATTGTGGTTAATAACTTCTCAGGAAGGCGTGGATGTTCACTGGTGTGTCCCTCTCTCCTGGTTTAACAACTGTTTTATTTCCTGATGTGAAGAAATTCTGCAACAATGTTCCGACAACATTTTTGTTGCTCCTTGACTAACCTTACCAGGACACTTTCGCCCCCTGTGCTGGATCGTCACTTTAGTGTAAAAACAGATGACACTTCGCCTAACATTCGTCGTTAATAAATCAGCCCATGGATCAGGAGTCGATATACAACATCAAAATTTCATATCCGCAAAGTTTCAACTCCTGAATGACTTCACCAACACCAAGGATGAATTGCAGAACCTTCGAGTGGCACGATGGCGAGGCGGGCGAGGATCAGAACAGATTTCTTGAACCATGAAGTCTTGAGTCTAAAGCAGTTCTGAAACTGTTTAATATCAAAGCTGTTGTTTCTTGGTGGAACATAGGGAACTGTCTGTAGCATGTGATTGTCGCGTGGCGGCTGTGTTAGAAGGGTATCCCAGGTGGGAGGCAAGTCAAGCGGTGGCCGTGAGGCTCAGTCTGTTGTGGCATTGGACATTACAGAGTGGCTGCACAAAGTGTTAGAGCAAATTCTCCGAGACCACCATGACGACATCCTAGGTAATCAGGCAACTTGGGGTGACTGTGGATTGGAGTGTTGGAAGATGATAGCGATCAATGCAACATGGAGTGTTGGAAGAACAAGAACAGAAACTAACATGGTGATGTATGGATGTCATCGAGTTTGCTGGGAAAATCAAGCTCATCCTTGCAAAAGACCCAGTCAATCGCCAGCTGCGGTGTCGATAACTTTCTGCCCGAAATCTGTGGAGCCGTATGTCCAGATGTATCATGACCACATCAATGCTAACCCGTCAGCAAGAAACATTCCGAGTTCTTCTGTACCAGCCGTGGCCAAGTCAGTGATAGTGATTGGCGGGGATATGGACTTTGAGGTTTTGACACTGAGGCCCTATGGCCTCTGTGGTGGATAGTGATACAGGTGATACCATGATACAGGCGGGGCCACTAATCTGCCTCTCTTACGGAACCAGCCCCCATCCCTGTGTGTAATGTCTCTTCTTCCGCGTAAGTGTTAAAAAAATATCTTGTGATATTTCTCTTATATGTAATTGTGTGAAAACCATCCCATAAAAATTAAGATGTTATTTTTTACTACTTGTCCGTGTTATGTAGGAAAAAAGGGTAGTCTGGGGTCGGTCATTGATCTCTACAATATTTCGATGATCATATGTTCTGTTATTTTGTTTGAATTTAGCGTTATCGCTGACCTCCATGGGTTTAGTGGCTGCATAAAATAAGAGACTATACTGTGGTCTCATTATTCACTATTGTTTTGAAAGATGTACCTCTATGACATCATTAAATAAAACAAAAAACTATCACATTTGTAGTTTGAAAAGGTATATGTCTGTAAATAATTAATATAAACTATCATATTTGTATGGTTTTGATATGTCTATGACATGTTTTATAATATTATATTTTCTTTGTTTCAGCCACATTACAGTATTGTAGTGATGCACGCGTGCTGCAGTCTGATTTTCGTCCTCCCGAATTTTTTCTCAATGGTGGAGGAATCACTAATCCGAAATTGACAAGTGTTAAACAAAAAGTGTTTAGATATTTTAAATCACTAAGCGAAATATCACTAAGTGAGCGATTACTAAGAGGATACCTGTATATGTATAAACAAGTGCTCCTTTATTTATGAATGAGTTATGTTTACAAAACATAGTCCAACTTTACTCTTGTTAATCTGGTATACAGTATTAAAAAAAAAAAGATGTACAGTCCAGTACAGCCTTGAAACCTAACATACTCTTTTCATTTTTGGCATTGTATGTTTCTATTTGGTATTTTCTTCTAAAATAATCAGTTCGTCCACATAAAACACCTGTCTGTAGGTAACCCCTAAATGATAATTCAACCGCCAGGTCTGGGTAAATGTTTCTATGGCTCCACAAAGTAATTGTTTTTACTATCGAGAGGATTGTATGGGACATTAAAATACAAAAGTAACCAAAGCATGGTCAGGAACTGTGATCGGTCAGGTTAACTCGACATCTAATATATGATCACAGTCAGCAGAATAAAACTAGGGCTAAACGAGCTCAAAAGATGTATAGACACTTATGATAATTATAACAGAATCTTATTGTGTTTGGAAGTTGTATTGCAAAGTGTTTCTTCTGCTTTAGTAAATGTAAAATTATGGGATAATGACCTTTTCACTTTTGGATTTCCTTTATAATTCCATTCATTTTGTAAGGTATAATTGAGTAAAAACAATGTTGATTTTATTTTATGTTTTATTGGTATATCTGTCCTCATCATGAATCTTAGCTCTGATGATTCTGTAACATTGATTACTTAATTTTCAGGTGTTGACAGGTTTTATTGCGCTCAGGTGGAAGTCATACTGATGCTGTCAAAGACTTCCTCTGGGCATTCTGCCTCTGGGAATACCAACACTGCCACTTCATCTATTTGGGGTTGATGGACAACTAGACCAAGGCATCTTGCTGAAGCAACAATGGCGATAGTTCATGACCTCGACGACCTTTGGATGTAATGGAAATAACACCTTTGGTACGATACTAGACAGTGTTCTGGATGCCACCATGTTATCCTTTGTCAGTATTACATTTTCCAAGATATAGAAGATTATATCTTATATAATTTATATATAGTGATTATAGCTTCATTGACCAAATTTTTTAGCAGAGTATGACATTTATAAAGTATGTCATTGTTTAGCTAATTATATATAGAACAAATTGGCAGACAAGACACAAAGATTCCCCAGTCTTAATTTATCGCAGCAAGCTTTGACTTTTGCGTTTTCCCTTTTAAATATGATTTTCATCATATTACTTGAAATTTTGGTGGGATTAATTTCAGTAATTAAAGGTACATCCATTAGGAACATAACAGAACCAACCAAATACCTGAGAAGCCAATAATTAGCGGGTACTGAAATAAGCATTGTGAAAATTCATTAAAATATTCAAGCATCATTACGACCTCATTATTCCAGCAATCGAACTATCGATGATAGGACGGACTTCGGCATGCTCAAGTGCCTATAGGCATGATTTTGAGCAAATGTCGCATATCGCGTTTTCTCTAGGCCTACCTGGAAAAGCGGCGTGAAGACCCTTACCTGTTTTTCCGCAAATATGATTTCCTCTCATACTTGAAATTTGGTGGGATTAATTTCCAGAAATTAAGTACATCGAGAAAGAACATAACAACACCAACCAAACCCTGAAACTAATAATTAAGCGAGTATTAGAAATAAACGCCGAGAAGAATTTCCCATTAAAATAGTCAACATCATTCGACACTAATTATTCCATAATCAGACTGCCGATGATAGCACGGATAAACATGCTCCAGATTACCTATAGTGTGATTTGCCAGACAAAATCGCATATATAAAGTTTTAGCCCTGGAAAGAAAAAAGCAGCGTAAAGGGTCGCATATCGTTTTCCCGCAAATATGATTATCGCAGACGCCACGAAATTTGGTGGGTTGTTTTCATTAATTAAGTACATCCATTAGAACAACAGCATCGGCAAATACCTGAGAGCAATAGTTGGAGTACTGAAATGGCATTGAAAATTTCATTAAAATATTCCAAGCATCGACCGACCACTAATTGTTACTGTCGAACTATACCGATGATAGGACGGGACTCATGCTCAAGAATTACCTATACTGATTTGGAACAAAATACATATAACGTTTATCTTATTCCTGGAAAACCCCAACGTGGCAGGGACTATACGTTTTCACCCCAAACAAATTTTCTCTCTTGAAATTTGGTGGGATTAATTTCAGTAATTAAGTACATCTATTAGAACATAACAGCACCAACCAAATACCTGAGAAACCAATAGTTGGAGAGTACTGAAATAAGCATAGTGAAAAAAAAGTATATTTATATATTTATATATATATATATATATATATATATATATATATATATATATATATATATATATATATATATATATATATATATATATATATATATATATATATATATATATATATATATATATATATATAATTTTTTTTTTTTTTTTTTTTTTTTTTTTTTTTTTTTTTTCTTCTAAATTTCACACCCTCCTAGGGACGGCCCTGTGTACCTTTATGTTTTACATGTTTTATTGTGTTTATCTACAGTAATTTGATGTGTTGCAATTATTTTGTCACAGAACTTAGTACAGTATATTATTCTATCACCAAGCTTAGTACAGGAACACATTCCCCCCCCTTGTTACATTAATTTATGTGGGAAAAATAGTTTCGATGAACATAAATCACCTAACAAAAGCATTTTAGTGGAGCCTAATCCTTTCATTCAGTGGGGACTGTCTGAATATGGAAGTCATAGCCTTCTGTATTTACTGCATCTATAGTAACTGTAACTGGTCTGTCACCTGCAGTGGTTATCAGTATAGTTGGACCTTGTCATACCTGCTGTAAATAGCTATCTTGTTAATTATTGCAGATGCACAAGAACGTTTTGATAATCTTGTCTATATATACCATGACAACAAGAGCTGTTTGGATTATGGGGTTAGCATTCAAGAAAATAAACTTCACAGAAATTATCTTGTATTCTCTTACGTATGTTGTATATATTTGTATTACTGTATTTTATTTGTGTTGCAGGGATCGGAACAAGAAGCCCCACCAAAGCCAGTCTATGCAGCCTCAATGGTTGAGTGGGGGGCATATAGAGATGCAGCAGAAAGAAATGACGTGTACTGGTACTGGTCTGTGCTGAAAAAGTATATGGTCTATGTATTCTCCAGCTATAAAGGTACTTATATGTGTAACCAAATGTTTGAAGAATAAGGTATACTGCTAATTATTAATGGTGCCATATTGGAAGCTGATTAAGGTTATCGTCATCATCACTTAGAATTTTGCTCAACTATAATACAATATTGCACTAATATTCTTTTTTTTATCCATTATTATTGCCATTTTCTACATGCAGAAATGAAAATAAAATTTTGAATCCTCCACATGAGTTTTGGTCAGTGTGCTTGAAACCCACTTATTTCTAATGAACTTTCACGAAACTTTTTACAAATGTGTACAGTACCTGTATATGGGTAGGTGATGTATTATGGTGGTCAGAGCAGGGACTGGGGGAAGGCCAATGGAACCTTTTCACCCAGCTGCCACTTTTTTTTTTTTTTTTTAAGGTATTTATATAAGCAAAGCAGTAAGTACAATTATGATACAATTGGTTCTTGCTCAAATGTTGCATACAGTATTACTGTAGAGTTTTTTATTGTGTGCCATTTAAGACTACATTAAAAAAAAAAATAATATCTCCATGGCAGGGGGGGAGGGGGGGGGAGGTAGCCCTAAGTTTTCTTATTGAGGTCCATAGCCTGAGGAAAGGCCTTGGATTGTTATGGTCCTTTCTATTAAAAACTGTTGTAAGAGGGCAAAACAGTTTTGTGCAAAGGTTCTCTCACTTTATTGTACTGTAGTGCCTAAATATATTTCATTAAGTTTATTCCATAAGGTAGTCAAAGCTTAACATTCTTACTGAACAATCCAACCCTTCCAAGTGAACAATGAACCCCCCTAAAGGGTTTCCTACACTATAGTACTGTGAAGCATAGAAAAGCACACAATGCCAACCCAATTAACATTCTTATCAGGTAATAAAGCATCCACCAATTATGCATTTGGCCTTAAAGTTGACATTCTTACCCCATGGACCAATTATTCCCTTTGTTAACAAAATGCATCCTAAAGGATAAACTGATTTACTTACACAGTGTGACTGGTTCCTACTCTTGTCCAGTACAGCAATTGCCAACTAAACTGACAGTTGGATTGCTAACATTATTTAAATGACTAGCAATATGTGTGAGGTAAGAACATCTTAGTAGAGCTGTCCCAGCAACATCCTGATTCAAGTTGGGAGACAGCTGGGAGTGAGGGATTTAACTGAAAATCCAATACAGTAGAACGTTGATTTAAAGCGATTCAATTTAAAATTATTGATTTAAAGCGACACCCACAATTAAGGACAATGTTTTAATTTAAAGCGAATCTTTCCTATTTTGCTCGAGTCAATCTGGCGCATCATATTTTAGAATTCGCGCCTAATGTTTCTCGGGGCACGCTACACTGTCCTAAGGGCAAAGCTGTACTATATATGTACTCAAAATAATGTACTAAATGATAACTAAAATTTTTGTCTCGTGCAAACTATTGCATGATTATAGTCATATTAATCACTATCTTATAAGAATTCCAGCAATGTAAATTATATTCTCCCTGGTCACTTCTGTGACATTTTATAAACTAAAAACAAAAACTTAATCTAAAGGACATAAATAAACCAATTAATACTTCACTAGACCTTCGGCCACCTAACTGTCAAACGGGTCACTGTCACCTCCCCCCATCCCTCCCTCCCTCCTTCCCAGGGTTGGGTGATTATAGGCTAACAGTTTTTATCTTCTATAATATCACAGTTTAAAGTTAGGAGAATGTAATTTGCATTGCTAGAATCCTTGCAATGCAATCCTTGCAATTTGAATATAAACGTCATATATTTTGCACAAGAGATAAAATTTTTAGCCCTTTGTAATAAAATTAGTTAAAACTAAAATTTGTATGTCTAATGCAAACTATAGCATGTATATATTCAAACTAATCACTATCTTATAAGAATTCCTGCAATGTTAATTATATTCTCCCAGGTCAGTTCAGTGTTTTATAAGAGAAAAACTTAGTCACTCTTAAGGACAGATGACAGATGAATAAATAAGCAATAGACCTTGGCATCAACTGTCAAACAAATCACCTCAGCTCCCTCTTCCCCCCCCCCCTCTCCCCCATCTTCCCAGTCAGTAAACAGACCATTTGGCATCCCTTAATTTTAGCTGTGTTGATTTATGAGTGTTTCTTTTAACATAATACCTGTACTACAAAAAACAATGTTTTGTTTATTCTAAGAGATGGGCTGAGGTACATCTGGGTAGACTGTCAGGCTTTTTAGTATTTTGTGTTTCTCTCAAGTACCAAACTAAATTATTCCATTGAAACAGCACTTCGATTTAATGCGAATTTGGTTTAAAGCGACCTCTCTTGGAAGTATCTCCCATTATAGTGACGTTCTACTGTACAACTTATGATGATAAAGTGAGGTTTATAATGTGCAGGCTGCTGTAGCACCAACTCAATCACCTCTCTGAGGTAAATATTGCTTTGGATTTTTTTTTTTTTTTTTTTTTTTTTTTTTTTTTTTTTTTTTTTTTTTTTTAGGTCATGGTTGAAACAGGAGATACTAATTGTGCATTATTATCCGCTGTTAATATTGAGGGTTCAAACAATACTCGAGTCTCCCTGAACTAACAGCTGGCTATGAATCCACTTTGCATACCTCTGGCCACCCACTTGTTATTGGGTACAGTAATTAACTTTCTCAAGTACTTTTTACTTTATAATGTACCTTGCTTCTGAAGTGATAAAATTTAAATTTATGATCTCATTTTTACTGATAATAATAGAGCAATTTTTCTTCCCATTTTAGACATATCATGGGATTGCTCAGCAGAGGTAGAATATTCCTCTCCATGCTCCGGTTGTTCCCGTTGTCGAGGAGTTACTGCTCTTCAAGATACTAAAAGGAATAAAACCCCTGAACCTCCAAAAAGATGGTGGATGGCATATGTTCCTAAACCAAAACCAGCATTTGGAAACAAATCAGGTAAATATTTTATGAAATATGTATAAAAACAATTTTGTCACTGCTTGGTCTTTGGGAACATTGGTAATATGTGAAAGATTTTTTCCACTAGAAAGATTATATTGTAGTAAAAATCCCCTCTTAACAACAACGATGGTACTTTCGAAGGCAAACTGGCAATCCTTGCGAGAATTCTTCTCCGACTTTCCCTGGGATGAATTTTGCTTTTCCACTCGGGATGCCTCAGTATGTGCTGACAGCATTGCTGGGGTTATACTGGGTAGTATGAGTGCATTTATCCCATCTTCTACCATAATTTTCACTTTACAATCATGGTTTGATCTCTCTTGTTTTCTTACATGTAGGGAGAGAGATAGGGCATAACAAGTTATGAAACTATCTCCTCCTGTTACCCACTCCTCTTTCATTACTTCTAGGAATCATTGTAAGGTTATTCTTCGAAGGGCCAAGCGGAATTTTATAAGAAGAAAGACCACTGACCTGACTAACTCTTTTTCTAGTAAATCCTTCTGGTCCTTAACCAAAAACATCTGTAATAACTTCTGCACTCCCTCTTTTCCTCCTCTTTTTCAACCGATAACTCTGTAGTCAACTGTCCCACTGATAAAGCCATTCTCTTTAGCACCTTAGTCTCTTGCAACTCCACCTTAGACTATTCCAACTCTCCCCCTCCTACTCCTGCTCCTCCTACTGAACGTATGCACTTTCCTATAATCTACACCGTAGGGTTGCTGGTGTGTTATCCAATCTGGATATGAGTAAGGTGCATGGACCAAATGGAATACTCCCTCATGTTATGAGGGAGTGTGCTGAAATTCTGGCCCCCATGCTTGCTCGCCTCTTTCGCCTTTGCCTCAAAACCCAAATTTTTCCTTCTTCTTGGAAGCATGCCTAGGTTTAGCCCATCCCAAAGAAGGGCTAGGCCTTGCTAGGCCTCATATGCTCTCCTCATTTCTTCTAATATGTCATAAAAGCCACACATCCACAACATTGCTAAAGCTGCTTCCCGAAAGCTGGGAATGCTGTACAAATGCCGTAACTACTTCACTCCTGAGCAGTTGCTTCAAGTTTATAAAGGATTCATTCATCCTAACTTGGAGTACTGCTCTCATATCTGGGGTGGCTCTTCTTCTGTCCAACTGTTAGATAGGATGGAATCAAAAGGCATTTTGTCTTCTTAACTTTCTTCCTTTAATCGATAATCTCTCTTCTCTTTTTCTTCGCCGCAATGTTGCTTCACTCTCTCTCTTTTATAGGTATTTTAACGAGCAATGTTTGGTGGATTTGGCATCCTGTGTACCACCGGCAAGGCTGTGGGCTCGTAACACTTGTCTTGCCCGCGGTGCCCACCGTTTCTCTGTGGCTGTCGGTCACACTAGAATACCCTGTTTATAGTACATCCTTCTTTCCTCACACAGCCAAACTGTGGAATGCTCTGCCTTCTTCTGTGTTTCCATACTCTTACAATCTGTCTCACTTCAAAAAGCTGGTTTTCAGGCATCTTTGTGGTGTAGGTAAATGCAGTACTGTATAGTCTTTTCTCCTATTTATAATTTATTTTTACTCTAAATTTTTTTTGTCCCCCAGGCCTCATTGTGGGTCAATGAGCCTGTGCCCAGGTGGGCCATTTCCCGTAAAAAACAAAAATAAATAAATAAATAGAATTATAAATGAATAAATAAATAAATATACTGTTTGTATACAATATATATATATATATATATATATATATATATATATATATATATATATATATATATATATATATATATATATATATATATATATATATATATATATATATATATATATATATATATATACAGTTGTACCCCACTTAACGCGGTCAATTGAACCCAGAGGGTCCCGCGTTAAGTGAAATCCGCGTTAAGTGAACAACAGAACATATGGGATTAATTCCAATAGAAACCGGCCCGACCCCCAAACTCCACTTTTTGAAGGCACATACCTATGTTGTAGTAAAAATAACATCTTAATTTTATGATGGTACATGCACACAATTAATACTTAAGAGAAATAGAGAAATACAGTCGCCAAGTTAATGTCCATTCAAATAATGGACTCAACTCCCTCCCACTCTCACACTACACTGCCAGCTCTTCCCTCTCAGAGAAATTTTTGGGGGAAAACCACTAAATTTTAATAAATAATACCTCAAACTAAAGTTAGGATAATACAATTGACATTGCTGGATTCCTTGTAAGACCAGGAATATTTTGAATATAAATGTCATATATTTTGCACAAAAGATAACATAGTTACCTAGAGAAAAATTTTTATCTAAAAATTGTATGTTTAATGCAAAATATATGATGTTTATATTCAAAATGATCACCAAATTATAAGAATTCCAGCAATGTAAATTATATTCTGACCGGGTAATTTGTATGAATTTTATGAGCTAAAACAAATATCTTCAGTTAATAAAAAAAAAATAATCTTCACGACACTATCTGTCAATCAAAGTACCCCACCTTGCCTCCCCCCCTCTTCCAACCGCGCGGTCAGTCCCAACCCTCCCCCCCACCCCCCACCAATCCTCCCTTCCAGAGTTTTTAACATTTAGTATTAAATAATACCTCAGATTAAAGTTAGGATAATATAATTGACATTGCTGGATTCCTTGTAAGACCAGGAATATTTTGAATATAAATGTCATATATTTTGCACAAAAGATAACATAGTTACCTAGAGAAAAATTTTTATCTAAAAATTGTATGTTTAATGCAAAATATATGATGTTTATATTCAAAATGATCACCAAATTATAAGAATTTCAGCAATGTAAATTATATTCTGACCGGGTAATTTGTATGAATTTTATGAGCTAAAACAAATATCTTCAGTTAATAAAAAAAAATAATTCTTCACAGGGTAACAGATGGTCGGTCGGTCCCTCCCTCCCCCCCACCCCCCACCAACCGTCCCAAGGAGATGTGTGGGATAACCACTAAATTTTAATAAATAATACCTCAAACTAAAGTTAGGATAATATAATTGACATTGCTGGATTCCTTGTAAGACCAGGAATATTTTGAATATAAATGTCATATATTTTGCACAAAAGATAACATAGTTACCTAGAGAAAAATTTTTATCTAAAAATTGTATGTTTAATGCAAAATATATGATGTTTATATTCAAAATGATCACCAAATTATAAGAATTCCAGCAATGTAAATTATATTCTGGCCGGGTAATTTGTATGAATTTTATGAGCTAAAACAGGCAGTCAGGCAGGGTGGCGGGTGGGCAAATCTAAAAATAGCGTCTCGAGCCGGACACTCACCGCGTATATGTGGAAAAAATCCGTGTTAAGTGAAAGTTCAGCTCTGGCGAGGCACCGCGTATATGATAAAACGCGTTAAGTGAAACCGCGTTAGGCGGGGTAATACTGTATATATATATGTATGTATGTATGTATGTATGTATGTATATATATATATATATATATATATATATATATATATATATATATATATATATATATATATATATATATATATATATATATATATATATATATATATATATATATATATATATATATATATATATATATATATGCGCTGATAACCACAAGGAAAGAAGAAAACACGAATTTCCCAAGCGCTTTTGTGTAATTCACATCTTCAGGGGTGAGTACGGACTAAGGAGAAATACATAAGGCATATATATATACAGTAGTACCCCGATTTACGCGGTCAATTGAACCCACAGGGTACCGCGGAAAGTGAAAACCGCGTAAAGTGAACAACAGAACATATGGGATTAATTCCAATAGAGACTGGCCCTACCCCCAAACTCTCAAACTCCACTTTTTCCGACACAATACCTATGTTGTAGTAAAAATAACACCTAAATTTTATGATGGTATGCTCACACAATTAATATTTAAGAGAAATACAGTCGCCAGGTTAATGTCCGTTCAAATAATGGACTGAAATCCCCCCCCTCTTCCCAGCTCACTAGCTCCTACCTCTCAGAAATATTTGGGTGAAACCACTAGATTTTAACGTTTAGTAATAAATAATACCTCAGACTAAAGTTAGGATAATATAATTGACATTTCTGGATTCTTTGCAGGTCAGGGAATTTTGAATGTAAACTTCATATATTTTGCACAAAAGATAAAATATTTCCTTTGTGTAAACCAAATTATTACATTAGATCTAAAATTTGTATGTCTAATGTAAAATCCATGATGTTTATATTCAAAATGATCATCATATTGTAAGAATTCCAGCAATGCAGATTATATTCTAGCCGAGTAATTTGTATGAATTTTATGAGCTAAAACAAATATCTTCAGGTAATAAAAAAAAAATATTCTTCAGGACACTATCTGTCAATCAAAGTACCCCACCTTGCCTCCCCCCCTTCTCACACTCACACCAGCTGGGTCGGTCAGTCCCAACCCTCCCCCCCACCCCCCACCTTCCCTCCCTACCAGAGAAATGTTTGGGTGAAAAAACTAGATTTTAACCTTTAGTAATAAATAATACCTCAGACTAAAGTTAGGATAATATAATTGACATTTCTGGATTCCTTGCAGGTCAGGGAATATTTTGAATGTAAACTTCATATATTTTGCACAAAAGATAAAATATTTGCTTTGTGTAAGCCAAATTATTACATTAGATCTAAAATTTGTATATCTAATGCAAAATCCATGATGTTTATATTCAAAATGATCATCATATTGTAAGAATTCCAGCAATGGAAATTATATTCTGGCCGGGTAATTTGTATGAATTTTATGAGCTAAATAATAAATTATACTTCACCCCGTATATGAGTAGATGCACAGCGTAAAATAAATTCCGGTAGGTTCTGGCTAGGTATCTAAATGTAGAATCTAGAATCGCTTAAAGTGAAACCGCGTAAATCGGGGTATTACTGTTCTTTCCTGTCTGACTAGTGATGATTCTTGTCGTTTGAAGAAATCAACAGTTTCTGGTCTCAGTGGGGTGTTTCTGTTGTAAGTGTCTTTGTGGTTTTGATGGTTTCAAACATTCATTGGAGAGTATCTCTTGACAGAGAACACACTTTGGGTACTCAACTCAATTTTAGTTCAAGTACAATGTGGCAAAACATGACATAGCCAGTGGCTTTCAAATCCTGGCTGTAAAAGGCGGACCCAACGTGCCTAGCTTGTGGCTTGTTGGTGCCTACGGGTAACCATTAATGAGTGGGAAAAAAATGGGTAGAGAGAGAGTCGGTGATGGAAAAAATAATGAATTGTTTATGTATTTATTTTTTGGCTGAAAATACTGCTTTCTTTCATCTTGTTGCTGACCCCAGTTTGGGAACCTCTGCCTTATTAATTTTACTGTGTAATGTAGTTTTAGGTAAGCTCATCTATAATCTTTGTGGTCTTTACTATTTAATAACATGTTGTGGTCTCTCTCTCACATTATAATATGATATATGCTGCATCTCTTTAGCTGCTCTATAGCTTTAAGTAAATTACTGCATTTTGCGCTTTGAATCATTTACAAGAACATTATGAAAATAATTGGATGTTGATGGCACAGTTTTATTAATACTGGACAAATAACAGACTGATCACCCAAAGTGTTACTAAACTAGCAGGTGGTGTAAATGATAAATTAAGAGAAAAACAATTCCTGTATTTAGAAAATCACAGACAGTCATTCATACTTTTTTAGATATCCATTATACTCCATAATTGTCAGATTTGTATTTACTTACAGAATATCTATACTGTACAGAAATCGTCAAGCATTATTTGCTTCATGCATTGTACAGTACATGCTCATTACTGTACTGCATTATGAAAGGAAAAAATTAAATTACAATAGAAAATTTTAGCTCATGTATTTGATATTAGCTGATGCTTCCATGGCTCAAGGAATCAGCCAGATCAGTGCTTGGGAATGACTGTGTCTGGATGATAAACTTTTTTAATTTCAGAAAATAGCAGTTGTAATTCAGCTTTGTGTATATAATAGAAGCTATCTTCAAAATTTATTCTTTGATGAGAAATTTAATGAGACAAGGTATTCTGAGTTTCTTTTTGTCCAATGGCACATAATCTTTAAATAATTTTTTACAGAGGTTAAAGTTGACTACAGTAGCATAATTAATGAAGAGTGTGGAGTAAAACACAAAACAAATATCAACAATATCTGTGACCTCGTTATCACTACAAGAAACACTAAACAATCCTCAGATATCCCCAGCTATGCTCTGCATCTAAAAACAGGTAAACACTTAATTCTTTGGTTAAATGCAAATTATATAATATTCAAAAGAATATTTAGTGTCAGAAAAGGTAAGAAACTTGGTAAATAAATGGTCCCATGTGAAGTGCTTGTGAAAAGTGTGAGAGGATTGGCCAGTTGTTGCCGTGTCACTGTCTTTGGTTGAATTTTGCAATATAATGACTATATTATTGTTTTTTGCCCTTTCATATTGTTTCTTTAGTTGTTTTTAATGCTAAATCTCAGGTCCAGCCAATGTTGGAACATTTGACTTTATAAAAGAAGGTTGGAGCAGAGAATGGAATAAATTGAAAAGTTATGCTTCAGAAACTACTGTTGGGGAAGTAACATTAAGACCGACAGGAGATGTTAAAACAGCCACGGTAAGACGTTCTTCTCTGTGCATGTTGTGAAACAATAGGATATGATTAATTTTATATTTTTAGGGGAAGGAGTTGTGCAGATGTGGATGACATATTGAAATTATGTATCGGATACCAAAGGGAGGAGATGTATGAAAAGAGAAAACTTTTTTTCATGTGTCTTAGGGTAGAATGAGATTGCCATTGACTTTAGTTATTAGACAAATTAGAAGTTAAAAAGTAAGAGATTAGAATATTTGCTGGGGAAATTATGATAGTGTAGGTTTATTTTGTAGAGACAAGAAGTGCAAATTTAAAATAAAAAGGCAAGAAATTTTTTAGATACGTAAATGAATACAATGGGTGAAAGAACTTATTAAGAGGAAGAGTAAAGCATAGTATACAGTATGTGATGCAGTATCAAAGAAATAAAATTAATTGAAGATAGAGGAAACACATAAGTGATTTAGTGAAATGTAATGGAAAATTTCAAAGTTAAACAAAATACATTATTGTTCTAGAAGTTTTGACATTCATGATTAACTTATGAAATATGTTCAGTATAATAATTTGAAGCTTTAACTACAGCAGCAGCATCAAAATGACAAATTCTAATTCACTTCATTGCCTTGTGGGGTTTGTTTAAGAGTACTGGTTTGCAGAGATGTGTTGAGAATGGCCACTGTCATTTATATGAAACACTTACTATTTGCTGTACAGTACATTACTTACAAAAGAATGGAGCTACTTAACCATGTATAGTCTACACAAGTGGGAAAGTAACTGAGTGAAGATACTGTATTGTAAATTATGCTTCTCCCCCTCCTGTTTTTAACCTTTCTGTATATCTGCCAACTTCATCTAAGTCACACAAAACAATCTTGTTTTGAACTTCTTTATTTTGTATGCCCTATACTGTATGGTACACAGGATTAAAAAATCTTAAATGGGTTTTAATTTGTTTTTTACCTAATCTGACAGTTTTAAACAGCAGTTTTTAATTTTGTTGTTGTTATAGTATTAAGTAACATATGTTTTAATTTCTTATTTGTTTTCCTTCTCCACATAGAACATTCCCAGTGCAAATAACATTCTGGAACTGCCCTCAATATTGTAGCTAGGTACTGTAATCACAGTGATCCATAAATGTGAGACAGTGAGACTCTTAAACCCTTTCACTACTATTCAAGTATACTCATTGTGCCTTTTATACCATATACAGTAGGCTGTGATCCTACTGTAATCCTGTCTTAATGTAGAAGTTGGACATTTCTTTCATTGCTTGCAGGGCACTGATCGAGAGCTGAACATAGACAGTGAAGCCTTTGAAGTTCGGCCAATGAAGATCAGAGCAATACCAAGTGCTGTCACTATATTTGCACCAGCATCTCCCCCAGTTGCTGCCCATGTTGGTTGAAAAGTGATCTCAAGATTTACTCCTAAAACAAAACAAACTTTGATTTAAGGTGAAGAGAGTTTTCAGTTGAATGAAATTGGTACTTTAAATATGTAATGTGGCTATGAGTTGACCATAAACACTTAGATAAGAGTAAGTGTTTCATGGGAGTGAGAGATTTAGTTAAAAATTAATGAGAAGAACCTGTTAATTAATGAATGACATGATGCTTGGTAATTCTGTAAATAGGGGAAGTGCCTTTGGTAATATTCTGTTGAATTGTTTGATCCCATAGCCTGGGAAGATATTGGAAGCATAATGTGTTGTCTAATGGTAGACCCTGCTGCCATATTGCATCACGAAAATTGTGACCAAGTCCCAGGTTGCTGATCTGACTTTCAGCCTCATTTTACACACAATTGCAGGGTCTCAATTGTTTCTCTTACTTGGACAACACAACATATATAATGTATATAATTTCTCACTCTTGATTTATTTTTTAAATTTTGTATATTTTTATGGTTATTATTTTTATTATTTTTATTATTTTATTTGTATTAATTTGCTATTAATTTTATTAATTGTTGTAATAATAAAAATAATAGATATTATTATTATTATTATGATTATTATTATAATAATAATTATTTATTATTATATTTTCGCCCCCCAGGCCCTGATGTGGGTCATTACCTGTGCCCGGGTGGGCTAATGCCCGTAAAAAAAAAAAAAAACTAAGCTAAATCTTGTCACACAGACGTCACCATCATATAACATTGTTGGAAATGGCATAAAGGTTGTTGGCCTCTTTTTCTTCTGAAGTTTCTCAGGTAAAGTACAGTAAATATTTTGAAATTATTCCTTGTCTGATCATCCCACTATCTTTTCACCATGTTCAAAACCTGAAAATTTGAAAATAAATCAGTCAGGATTGATACTAACAGATGTAGCTCATGCAGTTAAAAATAAAGGTAACCAAGAATTGGTTATAGGCTGTATGGTAAATACTTACAGTATTTGGTCTTTTGGAAAATTCTGTCATTAGGCAGGTTAAAGACAACCAAAATCACTTGCTTGCTCTCAGTTTGTTACATTGAGAATGACCTACATAAAATACTGAACCACAGTGGGTTTTTTTTTTTTTTACTTGCCATAATGATGCTAGAAAGAACTTGAGAACTTGATAATGTTTTGAAGCAAATCAGCAAGGTATATTTTATTATCATTTAAGATTATAGTTTAATTTTTTTACCAAAACTGTGGACTGTGAACATTGTTTCAGCAGTAATATTACACCAGACTACAACATTTATACTTCTTTCAGTGTCTTAAGTGAGCGAGCGATTCAGGATTGATATTAAAAAAGCCATTGCTGCAACTAAAACATCCAGATTGTGGTCCAGAGTTACATTAATTTTTACCTTTCAAAAGTATCCCACCCATGGTAAGCATTGTGGCAACTTTACAAAAAATTTTACATTTTTAATTCATCTCTGATTTACTGGTTAAACACTTCCGTATTTTATTGTTACAGTACGGTATTTTAAATTGTGTATGGCGGTAGACTCTATTATAAATGTTGATACTGTACAGGGTGATTCACTCACTCATATCTCTTAATTTGTCCATTATTTATGATATGCTAACATTTTGTGTTTTTCTGTATTTTTTTGTTTTGTTTTTATTCTCAAGTGTTTCTCTCTCGCTATTTAAGTTAGTGTCTCATGAATAATAGTCATAGTGTATCAGTAAACCTCTCAGGCTACCAGTGAGTGAATCACCCTGTATTTCATGTATATAGTACAGTACAGTATATGTATTAAAGGTGTATTTGTATATACAGTGCAGGGAGGTAATATTTTTTTTTTTTTTTTAGATATATTTCCTTTTGTTGTTCCTGTGTATGTTAGTGCTTGTTATAAAATTTAACCAACAATCATCAAAGCATTTCCTTTCCTCATTGGTGGTTTGGCTTATTATGTTGGTGCACCATTCCACAGAAGGTAAGGAATGCTTTCATTATAATTGGAGTGTCACATGGGAAGTGTCAAATTGTAGGTCATTCACATGGGAAGTGTCAAGTTGTAGGCCACTGTCACTTGGGAAGTGTGAAGTTGTAGGTCACTGTCACTTGGGAAGTGTTAAGTTGTAGGTCACTCACTTGGGAAGTGTCAAGTTGCAGGTCACTGGCTTATGGGAAATGTCAAGTTGCAAGTCACTGTCACATGGAAAGTGTCAAGTTGTAAGTCACTGTCACATGGAAAGTGTCAAGCTGTAAGTCTGTCAAATGGGAAGTGTCAAGCTGTAAGTCACTGTCACATGAGAAGTGTCAAGTTGTAGGTCACTGTCAGGGTGTGTTCACACTGCAGGCGATTCACTGGGAGGATAGTGTGTTGCTTAGCAGGTCGAGGCAAGCGATGCTGTGGTCAAACAAGAGCAGGAAACATTGCATGGGACAAGGCAGTCGCTGTCCAGCGCTTCCCATGAAATGTCATTATCAAAGCTCTTTGAAAAATTGCTTTTAGTTGAGAATTGACTGTATCCTTAAAACTTGATGACATGCCTTTCGGCAGATCTTTTGGGGGTTCATGATTTTAATAAGACAAGCTGAACATGGTGAATTTAACAATTTGTATCGTCAAGCTCACTTAAATGATGATAAATGTTTTGAGTATCTACGTATGAGTCAAGGAAGATTTGATTGTTTGCTGAACAAACTAGAAGTGAGACTGATGGAAATTACAGCTAACTTCAGACAACCGATTACTGCTGAGCAGAGACTGGTTATTACATTGAGGTAAGATTAATTTTAAATCACAGCCATTTTTAACTTATATGAAATTTATTAAAGAAACTAAAAAACACACTTATAAAAAGACAGAAAATTGTATTGTGAATTTTACATTGTTATCTCTTAACCTCTATGCCACAGTTGATGTTCCGGAACATCCATTTAGGGCGCCCCAGTTGACGTTCCGGAACATACACAATTGTTTGAATGCCCAGCGCGGGTTATTAGGTTCCAGCAAAGACTATTTGGTGGGTTTTTTTCTTTTTTTAGTTTAACAAATTTATTGACAAAGCTTGGAGTACAGTTTGCCTATTCTGAGTAATTCAGTCAGGTCTTGACACTGAAGGTGGTATCACTTCTCACTGCCACGCAGGACAGAGGTTCATTCACAAAGGAATAGATCTTATTCATTAACAGTATATATAGGTCAGATTCATGTGGGTTGATGTCGCTGTTCACTGCCATGCAGGACAGAGGTTCGTACACAAAGAAATACATTATATTCATTAACAGTGTATATAGATCAAATTCATGTAGGTGATGTCACTGTTCACTGCCATGCAGGACAGAGGTTCATATACATTGGATGTTATATTCTAATTGAAGACTAATCAGTGTGGGCTAGCAAATTTTGGATAAACAGCAAGAATGTCCTCAAGCACCCCTGATTCATTGTACTAATTACAAAGTTCATGATACAAAAAGCCAGGTGGCCTGAAGTCGGTGGTCATGCCACACGCAGGGTAGCGTTGGTGGGCTCAGTGTGGTTAGTATGCATTAGCCTCTCGCCATGGAGAGTGGTCCCTCAACCTGGCAACAGACTGCCATTGTGTCGCTGACACCAACCACTTTTTATGAAAAATAATGCAAAGAAAATAAATTTTAAATGAATTATTGAGAGGAAATAAGTATTATGATCAGTAAATATATGCATTACTGGCCATCCCGGACACAGAAGCAAGCAGAAAGTGGCCGCTAGGTTCGTAGTGACCACGAGCGCTCCGTCAAAACAACACTTCCCCTTATCTCCCTTGTCACTGCAGCCCAGGGAAGTTTCTAGACGGTCAATAGGCAGTAGGCAGCAACCAAACAGGAAGGTACTATCGCCTGGGAAGATATTGGAAGCATAATGTATTGTCTAATGGTGGACCCTGCTGCCATATGGCACCACAAAAATTGTGACCAAGTCCCCGGTTGCTGATCTGACTTTCTGCCTCATTTACACACAATTGCAGGGTCTCAATTGTTTCTCTTACTATTGACAACACAACATACATATAATGTTTCTTTTTTATTTTAATATTTTTTTTTATGGTTCTTTATTATTATTACAGTGTTGTTATTATTTTTATTGTTTTATTTTAAATTTATAGTTTTTATTATAAATTTTATTTACTATGACTTATTATTATTATTATTAATGTTGTTGTTGTTGTTGTTGTTGTTATTTGTTTTAATTTTCTTCCCCTGGGGCCCCGATGTGGGTCGGTGGTCTGTGCCCAGGTAGGCTAATCCCCAAAAAAAAAAAAAAAAAAAATATATATATATATATATATATATATATATATATATATATATATATATATATATATATATATATATATATATATATATATATATATATATATATATATATATATATATATATATATATATATATATATATATATATATATATATATATAGTACTTATGTTAGTAGAAGAGATGGGTTTGCATACGTGGATGGCGGCTGGTTCCGAGGCAGAGGGCAGATTAGTGGCCCTCAGGTGAATCACTGTCGCTATCCATCGCAGATGTCAGGGCCTCACTGACAAATCCCTCAAAGTCAACATCACTATCACTGACTTGGGCTGGCTGTTGTGGGTTGCTTGCGAAGAAGTCTGTGATGTTACGCTGACGGCTAATGTTGATGTTTTTGTGGTAAATCTTGATGTACGGCTCCATAGTTTGCAACAGATGGTTATTGAAGACTTCATAGCGGTTATTGTCATGGTTGTTGGAAAGGACGAGCTTGAGTTTCTTTGCAAACTTGATGGCATCCTTATCATTACCATGTGTTAACTTGTGTTCTTCTCGGGCTGACGCACTACCTGCATCTTCACTGACGTCATCGTCTTCCAACATCTCTTCGGCAGTCACCTCAGGATCCCTGATCACCTCCATAATGTCTTCGTTGGTGGTCTCGGAGAAGCCTGCAGCTGTAATTCTTTGTGCAGCTTCTCTTGCAAGGTCCACTGCCACTGCAACAGACTGAACCTCACCAGTCACAGGTTGACTCTGCCTCCCACCTGGGATACCTTGCAACACATGCTGCCATGCATGACAGCTGCCCCCATGCCTCCACCAAGAAATCAACAGCTTTCTTGACGTTGAATTTCTTCCAAAACTGTTTGACTCGAACTTCTTGCTCCGCCAACTCTTCTTCCTTATCCCCGTCGCTCTCGCTATCGGTGCCACTCGGAAGGTTCCGCAACTTATCCTTGGTGTTGGTACAGTCGTTCAGGAGCTTAAACTTCTTTGCAGAGTATGCAGCTTTTACATTGCAGATTAATTCTTGGTCCATGGGCTGGATTAATGATGCAGTGTTGGGAGGAAGGAAGACCACTTTTACGTTGGG